ATAACCCTGATCCAGTTAACGCCATTGAGTCTTCTTCAGCAGCTGCGAACCCCCAATCTAGTGCTTGAAACCTACACATGGTTATTCCCTGCAGAAGTTCAAAAGGAAGAGGTCCAGAGATGGAAGCATCATTCCATTATGTTGATTGGTATATATTACTGTACAATTTGTTGTAAAGTAAAATTTTGGAGTCAGGGTGCAAAATCTCTAAAACATTTTCTTAAAAATAGAAAAAGGGGGATGGGGTTTTATATACTGTATTATTAGAAAAAGGTGGACCAAAGATTGACAAATTCGTTGTAACACTTAGGTGTGGGATGCAAGTACATTGTTAATCATAATGAGAAGAAATTGTAAGATTACTATATTTCTTCCATTCATTGGTTTGATTAGCTTAGTGCTGACGAAATTAGGGAAGGATCTTGATTGTACTGGATTTGGACTCCACGGAATCATGGGCAACAGGCAATGCGATTTCAATCTGGTTTTCAAGTAATGTACTGCATTAAGAAGTTCTCCTGGCCTTTTGGTTGCCACTTGCCGCACAAATGGTTAAGTGTGAAACAACCTTGTAGAGCTGTGAAATTGAAGATTCCTCCAGACATCAAGTAATTCAAGAAATGGCCAGTAATATGTAACAAGTTAACTACAGTCAGTCATTCATATGATTATTTGGACAAGCCACTGGAACATGACCAAAGAAAGACTGCTTTCTTCAACATCTACAAAGGAAAGGAGGCTCATCTCTGGACTTGCCCATGTGCTGTTGTAAGCATTGGAGTCGAGTTGAGGCATTCAATTCCAAGTTGAATTGTATTGCCGCGAAGAATTTCCTCAATAAGTTGATTGATGGCATTTCCTTTGGCCTGCAGACAATTTAGTATGTTTCAAAGGAAATGCTTTGAGTTGGAGCACAAAATAAAATAAATCTAAGTAAGAGGGGTTTGAGGTGACATGGAGGGGCATATATATAGACTATAGTTTACCTTAACTCCAATGGCAATGGCGGTTTTAAGTTGAACAAGTTGACCCAATCTTAAAGAAGCTCCCTTGTTATCTTTGAGAAAGATCAAGGGGACCTTCCTTGACAGGGCCAAGCTTGGCAGATGCTTTGACAGCCATCGTGGATTACAATCAGAAGCTATCAGAACAGCCTGAAGCCCAATGTATGGTGCTTTAGTACGATTAGAAGCTAAGCTTGGCGCCAATGGCGTCAATGGCTGCGTCGTTGGCGCCATTGGTGTCACTGGTGGCATGCGTTCAAGGACACGAGTGACTTCATTCACCCCTATTGCAAATTGTTGCTACAAAAATATAAAGAAAAAAAAAGTATCAGTTTATTATGGATGATCAAACACGAACACGTAATCAAGCATACATATATGATAATATGATATGATGATCTGAATCCAATTATACAAACCTTGAACCACATCTTTTCGGGTAAACACTTGCTATCATCCATCATAAGTCTTGCTGACTCTATCTTTCTGTGAAAAACAAAAATACCATTCAAGTTAATATTTTAGATGTTTTCATGGATAATATTGTATCAGTCAAAGTTCATAACATAACGTAACCTCTGAATTGATTGGAGCAGACGATCGAGACGTTCCCCTTCATAGCAACTGCATGTAAACAAACAGGGAGTAAGTAAGTTAACAACCTATTTGTCGTTAAAATAATTGGAACGCAAAAGTGCCACACACCCAACCCAAAGGAAGGACCCACGTACTCTTGGTCTTGGGACTTGGAAGCGTGGATGATGCGCCCTTTAGAGTCTTTGTTTCTGGGTGGCATGTTTACGCACACTGCCTGCTTGATGAAAGACCTCAACCAGCCTGCTCAACGTCTTTACCAAAACGGAAAAGAAAAAGAAGTGAAATTCTATACCGGGAGGGCCATAAGCCTCAATTCAATGCCCCAATGGAAAGCGCCAAGCGTTGGGCCTACAGATTCGGAGATATTGGAGACCAACAAAAGGCACCAAATTAGCGCTAGCGGGCCCAGAATCCTCTAAATATTGTCCTTGTCTCTCCTTAGTTTTAAATCTAAACCATCCACATCTTCGGAAAGAAAATCTAAAGGCTGAAAATACCGCATCTCAGCTCATAGTATGGTTACTAGTTCAAAAAGGAAAGGTAAAGATATTTTAACCCTTAGATTTTAGCCTTCTTGCAGTCTTTGTGAGTGCGGAAAAAGAATTGTGAAATGTCAAAATATTGTAAACTTTATTTCATAGAGATGGTAGCAGTGGAACTATTTCTTCCACTTGATAGTATAGTCATGCTAAAAGATAATATGTGTGCCAACGAGATGTGCTCAGTGAAAAAGAAATTTGACTTGTAGACAAGAGGTTTCAGGTTCGAACTCCATGGCATCTTAGTTGTGAGAAACCTCTCTCCTTTGTAATTTAGACTATCACTTATATCCAAAAAAAAAAAGAAAAAAAAGGAAGACAACATGAAATAATAAAAGATGGTCATTAAAGTTTGCATGCATGTCATCTGTATATGGATTCTACTATCACTTGATACTACTACATGATAAGAATAGCCTTCACAGAAATTTTCTTATATTAGGATGAAATGTTACAAGAGATGACATTTTCATAACAAAATGGCATTATGCATTGCCATTGCTAAGGTTCATGTTAATGACAGATTTCCTTGCTTTGCCTGCTTCAAGCACCCTTGTACGCAACAAGTTCAATTATGAATTGATTGTCATTTATTAATGTTTTTTTTTCAAAGAGGGAAGAAAGTGTCGCAATTATGCAAGTCGACATCAGTGGAAAGATTTGAACAACGTAAGTTAAGGAGAAAGAGATGGTAAATCATGAAAAGAGTAGGTGAGCTGAGCTAGCATTCATGCGGCGGGAGTCAAATGACAGACATTGATATCATGCTTTAAAGTTTACAACCACCATATTTGTTCACTGGTTGTGTTTTGCTTGGGCTAATGTGGCATAGGATACCTCAATACTTTGGAAACCTCTCTGCTTACCCCTTTTCAGAATGCTACAGATTACGACCACACTTCCCTATCTCTCTCTCTCTCTCTCTCTCTTGTCCCCCTTTTTTTGGACAATTCTTCTCTCAAGTCTTAGTTGATGGCTTAAATTTCTATGAATTTCTAGTACTGCAACTGCTTGATGGATTAATAATGCACATGAAAATTACATATAAACATAATACACAAGTAAAATTATGTTGCTTCATCTAAACACTTACTTTACCTTGTTAAGGATTAAGAATAATTCAATCTGGCATGCTTGTCTGATACCTTAACATATAATATTTAATGTATAATAATAATAACAATCTCCTCAAGTGACAGAAGGTTATATGCATAATAACTGGAAAACTCATCGAATAAAATAGATGAAAAATTATCTATTAAGCCTTGTGTTATGATTTAAGAGTTGGAAAACATAAATGATATGATACTGTGCAGACAGTGAAAATGTGATTGCTGTCTTGTTAGCTTGTTTTGTTTCTGATTTTGCTAGGAGTGGACAATTAAAAAAAAGAGTGAATTGGTAAAATTGACCGAACTGGATGGTTTGGTTCGGTTTTTATTTTAACTTTTGTCTATGTTAATACTCAAACTAAACCAAACCAGCTTGAACCGGTTTGGGTACGATTTCAATTCTCCTAGGATTGAGAAAACCGAACAGAACCAGTCCCTATCCATTTTTTTTTAAAATTACAGTAGTATTAGTATCCCCTTATATACAATCATATTTTTCTCCTAACCCTATTGCATATGGCATGCCTCACCTGCTCTCTCATGTCTCTCATCTATATCTCAACTCTTTCGTCGTCATCGTAGATCTAAGAACTGATCTCACTCCTCAAAATAGAGTGTCTTTCACTCCATATCTGAGCAAATCTCACCTCTCCGAGCAAACCCCTGCCTCTACACTCCAAGCAAAACATGGAATGGACAAGTCTGACGAATGGACCAAAAAGGGGGTGATTTGGCTCTATTAACATCACGCAAGTTCACGGGAACCAATCTGAACCGAAAGCGTGACTACAATTTAGTCGGCCAATCGCCCCTAATTTTTACTTAACTTCTTTCACTAATCATATAAACCTATTTTTTTGAGCAGACTAATCATATAAACCATTGAACTACTATTTTCTTGTGAGTTAAATAAATGTTTACAAAAAATTAATTTTCAAACCATGAACAAAAAGATAATAAATTCCAGGTCAAAATCCCAATTGGGTCCAATTGCAGGAAGCACAAGTTTTAAATAAAAGGAAGTGAAAATGGAAATGAGGATTAGACAAGAGAGTATGAGGAGCGTGAGCAATGGCAAAGTGGCGAGCAAAAGGAAAGTGTATGTCAGTTGGTTTTGCTTGGTTGATCCGCCAAACGAGTCACGTTGTTTGGCCTTGTAACTTGTAATCTTTATTTTGTAATTAGTATTTGTTGCCCTGAAAAAAATCAAAATCAAAATCGAAAACAAAAACCCCAGTAGGCAGCAGCAGCAGCATGCGATGGTCCAGGTCCAGCAGGCATCCACCACCAGCCTGATACCCCAATCCCTGGGCTTGTAGCCTGACTTTTGTTCGTATCCGATGTCGCACGTTGCAGGTATGAAACTCTAATTAAAGTTTGAACTCCCAAAAAAAGCTATGAACTGTGTTTATATTATTTACTACTTGTTACAAGTACAGACAAAAACTACAAGAAACAACAACAACAGGAAAAGAGAGAGACTTTTCAAAAGAGAAAATCATTCATGAGCAAACTAGTGGAATTTAATTTCTCAGTCTTTGACTGGTAAATTCAATGATCCTCTAAGTTTGTCACATGAATTGAGATGTGCATGAGCATGACAGAGACCCCATCTATCACCATGCCAAGATCAATGGTGCAAATTAAGCTTTATTCTTGATGATGAATTTCTGAAACTCTCTCTCTCTCTT